TGTTCGGAAATTTTTGTTTATTTCGTCATTCCGCTGATATGGCGATTCCTTTGACGACTGCAATATATTTCTGAATCGCTTGAGTGAATTGCTCCTTATTATTAAAATATCCGAAATTGGAACAAAGCCGAACACAATTTTGAAACTGACGTCTTTATCTATGTCCTGTGAAAATTTGAGAAAAATTCGTTAAAACCCGCAGGAGAACAACTCGTTTGAAAATCACTAATTGCCGTAAAATTCTTCCGGAGAAAATTGAATTTGAATATTACGTTTTCAATGTTTTTCTTACTGCAAGCGAAATGTACTTTATTAAATAACTCTGCGAGTTTTCAACAGGTATAAGTTCCTGGTCCCGTGTCAGCACACGTTGCAAATTCACTGCAATCTTCTTGTGCAGTTCCACATATTTCGATTTCTAATGGAAGCAATATGAATGAAGAAGCACTTACTGAAATTTGCAAGAACACATTAGTGAATGACATAACTTACAGTTGTATTTAGTTTGTAATCTAAGAATTTTGCTGAGACAGAGGCAATCGGTTTTTTAAAGAAATACCAAATATTACCTTCACAGGTTTTTCCATCTCCAGTATATATCCTTCGCTACAGCTACAGGTACAGGTAAAAGTTCCTGGTCCTGTATTTTTGTTATAAAGAAAAATCGTTTCTCACCTTCACAGGTCTTTCCATTTCCAGTATATCCCTTCTTACAAGTGCAGGTGGAGGTTCCAGGTCCAGTATCAGCACAGGTTGCAAATTCACTGCAGTCGTCTTGTGGAGTTCCACAGATTTTGATTTCTGAAGAGAATTGGAACAGTTAATAACCAAAACGAAACACTGATATTCGGATCCAAAGTGCACACTGTTGATCGCTTTTTTGAATAGAGAGAAAATGTCCTTGCTAACCTTTGCAAAATTTGTATCCGTCGCCAGTATACCCAGGATTGCAAGTACATATATAACTGCCCGGACCAGTGTTTGTGCATGTAGCAAACTCACTGCAATCATCTTTAGGACTAGCACAAATTTCAACTGCTGAGAAAGTTAACAGACGTCTTCAGCTTCGTACGGTATGCAAATCGCAATTCAGATCATGTGATGTTAACATCTTTTTATCACTGTTTGTCATTATGAATGTTTTATTCATATTCGAATATAAAATGTCTAGATACAAGCAGTTTAAAATGAAAACAGTGCACGATCTGAAATGGAAATTTTGATACGAAGCTTATGACGTCTATTCGTAACTGACAAAAGGAATAAATGACAAGAGATATAGTTATATGAAAAAACGTCGCGATCGGTAGCATGAATCTTATTCCAATACTAGAAAATACATGCATGCAGAAAACCTCGCCTTACTGACAAACCATTATATTTTCCAAACATTTATTATTTAAAGTATTTTTTTATGTTACTCTGCAGTGTATATCCACACCGGGCAGGCTGAAAAGTTAGCCTGACCACGGTGGGAATCGAACCCGCGAGCATTCTATTCACCTTAGTACATAACATCAAAACACACACAAAAAATGTATTTAAAGTAGTTGTCATGGTAACATGATAATTTCATGAAGAATATTTTTATAATTGAAAAATCCCCTATAAATAATGTCACTTTTAATTACAAAATTATCAATTTCCCATACATATATATATATACATATATATATATATATATATATATATATATATATATATATATATATATATATATATATATATATATATATATATATATATATATATATATATATATATATATATATATATATATGTTGGGTATGTTATTATAGGCTACGTAATATATTAAGCTTCAACCACAAACGCTTCGCATGACGTTTTAAATGTTCTTTATAAAACTAAACTGCCTTTATCGATAAACTTTGAGTTTTCAATAAAATGATTTCAAATTCTGGCATGCAAATAACTTTGCTTTATTATTTAAAAAATTTAATATAATAAAAAAAGGGTAATCAATAAAGATACACTGAAATTATATGCCATCTTTTTTCATTTAAAATATACATAACGATAAGCTTTTAAAGAAATGGGTACTTTACAGTTTACCGTACCCGTGTACCGCAAGTATTTGATGGCGTGTGTTCTGATGGCGGGTTTTCCCGTTCTTTTATCGCTTGTTTTGAAGGCGTATGTGTTCAGTGATTTACTCCGATACGGTAAAGTGTAAAATTTCCGAAGCAATTATTTTCAGCTTGCCCGGTGTGGATGCACACTCAGAGTAACATCACAAACATCATACGAAGCAATTATAAAGCAAACAATACGTATCCCAAAGGTCGCGGGTTCGATTCCCACCGTGGCCAAGCAATTAACTTTTCAGCTTGCCCGGTGTGGATGCACACTCAGAGTAACATCACAAACATACCTGAGTACATAACACCAACACACACAAATATCAAAACTTACTTTCATTAACATGGGCGTCTTTGCTCCCTTCTTTTCGCAATTCTTTCGCCATTTTTCTCAAAAAGCTTTTGAAATTTACAAAATCTTGCAAAAATGAAATATATTTGCAAGAAATAAAGAAATGTTCTTATCCGTGAAGAGGTTTGAATCCAGGTTCATTGTTTGTTTTATTTGTTCTTCTAGGTTATTACAAAACTTAAATTACACAAAGGCCTCTTAGTGTAATTATGATTATACCAGCAAACGAAGGGAGAAATATATGGGAAAACATATGGTAAGGCCTGCCTTACCGTGCTCTAACTCACGTTTCAACCCTTCCGGAACCGGAAGAAAAAAGAAAGAAAAGAATAGGTCACATGACCCGGCATATAAATACGTCAATCCCCCGGTGCCTATTCGGCTATTTTCAACAAGTCTGTAAAAAGAAACAGGGTAACGGAGAAACGCCGCTTGATGGTAAAGGGTGGGCCCATACATTTCTCCATTCGTTTGCTCGTATAATCATAATCACACTAACAGGCCTAAGACGCCGTAGCCCGCGTCCAGGCCCAAGGGAACTGATAGTGAGCCTGCAAGCAAGGCCCGGTATTTTGTACTTTCCGCGTTCGCCCACGAACGCGGCATTCTGATTGGCTGTTTGCTGTTGGATTCTATAATTAGGTCAGTGATTCATCACAAAGGCTCTCGATATTCTCTCGATAAGCTTAAAATTCGAAAATTGATCACTTTTTTCGATTACAAATGGAACAAGAACAGACTGTTTATTGTTTACTTGAAGGAAGAAATGTTTTTGCCGTTATGCCAATGGGGATTGCTTGTCGTGAGGTGTTGGAATAGCAACATTACGACTGGGGTAAACTATAGTAACCTTTACCACAGAGCCTTTAATACACTTGAGTTTCATTAATTTCAAACAGACTTGATACGTTATATGT